CCTGCATCCCCTTTTGCATATAGATATATATGGTCACTTAAGGTATGGAATTAATAGTAACCATGCAGTTTTGATTCTTATTTCTACACTGTATATATCTATAAATACTCTTTCTTCAAAATTGAGTACATTTCCCTGACAACATAGGAGGTACTTACTGATATAACGACATTTTAACAGTAATCTTGTCTTGTTATTTTGATGCTTAAATGATATCTTTCAATGTGTTGCATTTCCACAAAAGTTGCACTCATATTTGGCAGAAATGTATGTCTGGGAATATTATGTTGTAAAGTGAATGTTGAAGAAAGCAAAGGTTGTTATATGAAGCATGTTCACCACTTAAGGCAGGCCGGATCACTTGTCACACTTGTAAATACAGTTTTACAACAGTTTTTATTTATTGTGTTCTTAGTCTTTCATTCAGGCCATTTTTCAAAGTAGACAGAATTTCTATTTACTAAAATAGAGACTCTGGCTACTTTGAAAAATGGTCTGAACCAGAGAAAAATTAAAAAGAATTTTTTTTTTTTTTTTTTAAACAAAGACCTTTCATTGGTCTTTAATCAAACTTGTATAATGAAAAATTGCTGTCTGAAATACACTCAAATATTACACAAGTATTACACACACATATTTGTACTACTTACTGTAGGACAACTTCTGTTTTTGTTTGCATTTCAACAATCATCTTTTTTTCATTTAATTGGTTCATTGTTTCAGACAGACTGTTTGTTGGTTTCCTTTCCAAGCAAATAGACATTCCAAATAGAAAATGATGACCCCCCCCCCCAATCCCATAGAGGAGTCTAAGGATTTAGATGTGCCATCTACTGGTGACAAAGAAGATACTGCTGCAGCTTGAATAAGCAAAATTCTTTCATAGGCAGGATCAACATAAAACTCTTTCTGTATGCAAGCATGTTCAGTTTTCTGTAATTTTAAAACCTCAGTTTCACCTGAACTTATTCACTTCATTCTTCTAGACCCTAATATTGTCATTTCTTTCTTTCTTTTTTGTCCTTTCAAGTTTCAAATTTCCAAAGATAAAAATAAAGAAAACCTAAGACAAATTAGGAATTGTTTTTCATATGTTATCTGAAAACAAGATAGAAATACAGTATCATTTATTTTTATTTTAACCATGGAAAGTTAAGTGTTTTATTAACAATGTAAATTGCAATTCTTTTATTAAACCTGATTGCAAGTCAAAAATCAAAGTATCAAACCAATTCAAGATAATGAAAATTAAATTTAAAAATCTTAAGATTACATAATTACTTTTCAAATATTTTTATGACAGTCTGGCACAAAAGAGTCTAATATCAGTAGCTCCATAGAAATACAACACCTAAGGTTTAAAATGAATTTTTAAAAATGAAAATCTTTCCTGGAGTTTTTATTTTAGTTTTCATTTTAAGCTAATAGATTAAATTTAATATTTCTAATAAGCAAAATACTTTCTCTAATTTAAATTGAATGGAAGGAGTTTTGTTTCAAAATGCTAAAATAGCTGATTTTTGCACCATTTTAGCCATCCATCATCACAATGTAATTCTCTTTATTAAAAAGTTTTTAAAAAATAAAATATACTTTTCGAAACTTTACTTGAGGAAGATTAGCCATATTTAAAGTTTAATTAATCAGATTTTAAACAAATATTACTTACTTTAAGTTTAAAATATTGCAGAAATGCATTTTTAATGTATTAGAGAACTGTTTATTTAAGGTGTTGACAGCCTAACAGACAGACGGAAGTTAATATAATGAGTGCTGTTTTTATATAATTTTTAACTACCCAATAATATTAAAAATTTAGGAAAATATTCAGCATAATCTAATGTTTTATTGAATTTTAGGTACTTTGGCTCTAAATTTGCTATAGTTAATGCTCTTATTTTTTGATAATATTGAATATGAATGTCCATATTTACAAAAATGGGCATGTTTATACACATACAAAAAAATTCAAAATTCTTTTTAAAATATTAGTTGCTAAATTGTAATAAGCTTCTCCATTTATGATTAGTAAATATAGCTTTTACTTAATAACAATATCACCTAACTGGGACAAATTAAAACAGAATTTTAAAAGATTTAAAACTTTATATATTATTATAATTCATATTTTTTAAAAATGAAAACAATTCTTGTAAAACTTCATTATTCATCAAAAAGATTTTTTTAAGACAATAGTGTCTATAATATATCTTATTAATGAAAACAATTAAAAGCTTTTCTAATTAAATAATGTCTTTGTTTTATTGTAATATAAACATTAAGTTCTACAAAATTTAATTTATCAAAAGAGAAGGGGTAACAGATGTTTAAAAAAAAAAAAAAAAAATTTTCTGAGAAAAAAAAAAAAATTGTAAAATAATTTCATCCATTTGTGAATAATCCTGAAAGTTTAATTAAAATCCAACAAATATTTGATTTTTGCAAGAATTTTCAAATCAATGTTTTTTCATTGCAGGACATTAAAATTTCCTATACTAATCTTTGTTAATGATTAGTAAATAAAGTCTTAATTTAATAAAAATATCACTTGACTGCTACAAATATAAAATTTTAAAAGATTTAAAAGTTTATTTTTTAAAATTTTAATTAGAATAAATTAAAAAAAAAATTAAAATAATTTTTGTAAAAATTCATTATTCATCAAAAAAGTTTTTTTTTCTTAAGACAGTTTATTGCATGATTCAGAGCAGATTTTTTATAAGTAGGGATCCTGTCTGACCAAGAAAATTTGATGATTTCAATTTTCTGAGGACTTGTACTTATAGCAAATATAAACATTTAAGGGATACAAAATTTCATAAAATTAAATGAGTAAGAGTAACATATGCCAAAAAATATATTTTTTACAAAGTTTTTCTAAGAAATGTTTAAAATATAATTAATTTCTGAATACTTTTTGAAAATTTCATTAAAATCTGACAATTATCTGATTTCTGCAAGAATTTCCAAATCCAAGTGTTTTTCACCACAAAATGATGCTCAAATTTCATGTACAAATTTATGGTCCTGCATTGATGCCAGAAAACAAAATTTTTAACTAAAATTTCCAAGGTTCTGAAAAGGATAAAAAAGTAATTTTTACATAAAAAAATCCTTTCCACTTAATAACACAAAGATTTTGATAATAAAATTTTATTTTATGTTTCGTTCATTTTCTTTAATCATGTATCCTCTTAGTAAATATTTGGAGATACCTAAATAATAATCCTAAATTATACACCAATACAGTACGCACACATTCTCCTTGTGAATAATAAAACTGTAAACATTTACTGCTTTTTTTTAAGGATTAATGTTATCTGATAATTTAGTCTCCAATATACACTGATGTGCTTTCACATTCTAAGATGAAATATTGTCATCATTCTATTAATTATTTACATAGGTATTCTCAGTTTTTTTTAATTTTTATTTCGAACATATTTGTTTGGATCTATGTTTTTCTAACCTTCAAATACATGTTGCATCAAGTGTCATTCTGTATCTATGAGAGTGGATCAATAAGTTCATAACTTGACACATAGTTACTAAATAAATTAAGAGAGCTGACAAAGAAAATAAAGGTATTAAGTATTATATGTGCATTTGAAATATTTTATATACATTTTAACTTTTGTTTAGTATACTGACAACTTTTTGTCATACACACACACATATTTTTGACATGCTTTGGATTTCTCAGGTATGGAGTGTGATGAGGGTCAAGCAAAGTTGAATAGTGTCTTTAAACCCTGATTTCTCTCCGACTCTCAAAATAGACATATCTGCTCAGTTTCATATCCTAATGTAAGCAAAGCAATTTCTAAAAATTGGGATGTATTTTTTATTTATTAATCTAACACATTTTATTACTTATTTTTAGTGGAAACTTGTATTTGAGTAAATGCTCTGTTTGTGACAATGTAATCATTGAGGCGGTAGGGTTAAATGCATGTATAAGGTGAGAGTGAAGGAAAGAGAAAGGGTGATGTTAAATTGAATATAACATATAATTTTGGAAAGGAACAAAGATTAAAAATTGGATTAGAAAATAAGAATAAATTAAAAAATTTCTAATTGGAACTGTGAGGATTTGAAACTGAGAATTCTAAGTAATGATGTCAGAAAAGGTGATACCTGAATTCACATGTGAAATGAGTCATAGTGAGTTTTTTCAAGGCTAGCCTGAAATTCTGATAGAGGAATCTTAGCTTATTTTCTCTAGTATCCAATCTGTTCATATTCCTACATAATTTTAGGGAATTTATCTATTGTCATCTATAATCACATAAGACATACAAGTGGTATCCTCCATAAATACATTGCTGGAATATGCAGTGAATCAGTTAAGTTTGAGCCTAGTTCTAGTTGCTAGTCGTGTCAATTAGCGTACTGGGTCAAGCACACCTAAAAAGTAATTTTGTTTTCACAAATTTTCGAGCAGCAGATGATTGAATTGAAGAAAGACACCTTTTTACTTTACCTTTTGGTACCTACCGCCTGTGTTGAAATAACTTACTTCCTTTTTAATAAATATTTATTACTGAAGATAATTCCACTCATTGAGTTGTCTATTCTGACAAAGCCACCCGAAGAAAAAGAACACCACGGCTTGGTGAGAATGGAAGAAAGTAAATATTCTTTCTTTCTTCTTGCCAGGAATCACACTGCAAACCACTAGATGATATGACCAACTGTGAATAGCACCATAGCCCACTTGGATACACCCAGCAAAGTTACCATGGACACAGGTGTATGTTCATACATTTATATATTAAACAGTATATTTATTTGTTTTTGCCTATTGGCCTGAATATTTGAGAAATCTTATACAAACTAAATCAAAAATTTACAGTTTTTGTTGTTGATTTTAAATTGGGGACATGTGGTCTTTTCATGCTTGGCTTCAGCAATATTCCTACAAATAACTTGTTTTTATGACTTATAGGAATATCTTTATGTCCATGATAGTGATTTAAAATGAAAAAAAAAAAAAAAAATTATTCATAACTCTTTTCCATTTTGATATCTGGGTAATGGTCAGTCAGCATTTGGAGGAGAGATTGTTGAATGGCATCAACTTGAACCGGTGGACAATACTCATCTTCTGAAGATCTGAGAATAAAAAATATATAAGGGTCAATCAGTTGTTATTTGGCGAAGAACAGAAAAGAGGGTAATAAGTAATTCAAATCAAACATAAATATGAGCATTTAATTATTAAAATATGCTTATATCCAAATAGATATGGGTCAATCCTTTTGTGTGGCAATTTTAAAAATTATATTGGTGTCTTAATAGTAGTCCGTCTTTGTATATTATAAACAAACAAGTAAAAAAGAAAGAAGGCTAAGGTTATCATGTCTGTATTGTGGGTGTCAGAAATGGACTGAAAAACCTGACCAAGGTGTCTTTGTATGCCTCTCATTTGTTCTAATTAGTCATATCATATTGGATGGTAGTTTCATTCACAACAGTTGTTGGTTTGAATTGGCAGGCTGCTTTGATGAAGTTTTAGAGTCATTATTAACAATATCAACAAAATATTTTAAATATAAGTCTATTTATCTTCATAGATGACTTGCTTAAATGTGAGACTAGTCATTTCAAAGCTGAAACATTATCATAACTTAGTGGAAGGGAAAACAATGATATATTTGTTTGTTTATTGTGTCTTTGTTGCCCCAACAGATTGCAACAACCCATTATTACTTCCTTGAAGATAAACAAAATCTGACTGCTATTACTAACAACACAGATCTTCTTTTGCTGTGGTTAGTGTACTCAGTCAGTTATATGCCATGCATGATACATGCTTAGGTAATCATGTATCTTTCAATACATGACTGATGAGGCATATTTTATCCTGTGGTAGGTTGCCATTTCATTCTGTGGTAGACCAGTTACCATCCAAGGCTATAGAACCTGGTCTGTCCTGCTATTTACCCATAGCTGGGGGAAGAAGAAGAGGATTCATACCTTTCCCAAGGGTATTAAGCACGTAAGTGAATGTAATGGATTTGACTGGAATTTGAACCTGGCTTTCTAATTCCTCAATCCAAGCAGTTATCCATTACTCCACCATGCCTCCTGCATACTGGTTAGTGTACTAATCTTATTGATTAGGAGTTTTATCTTCACTATGTAAATATGACAGAATTGGTATAAACTAACAAGTAAAACAAATTGTAATACAAAAGCAGCTGATAACAAATTTTTTGGCTCAACTATTTGAATAAGATGTCTGCTAAAAGAGTGATTGTCAGTAAATTAGAAAGATATGACAAAATAAAGTAAACCCTTCATTTTCAAGAAAATTTTATTATACAAATTAAAATTTGATAGGATTGCCATAGATTTTAATGGTTTTACTATCTCAGGCATAAATTTCATATCTGTTTTCTCTTGGACTGGCCTACATTCTAAACATAAGGCAAATATTTTATAGAATGTCTTTAGGACATTTTTCTTTATTCCCAATCCAAAATAGATCAGTCATTTTTTAATATAATTCTTGTCAGCAGATTGATTTGGTGCTGAGAGTTACTTAATATCTTCTAAATCTGCCATTGATAAATCATTTTTGCTATGCAAAATTGTCTCAATCATTATAGCTAGTCAATGCTTATTGGAAGCCCTGCTATTATCAGCTTAGTAGATATCTAAATTTGATTATTAGAATGTTAAATTAAAAAAAAATATGATGCCTATTTATTTATGTCTGTATAGTCTTGTGGGTTAGACTTGGTGAATATGCTACTGTTGTTATTTTGTGCCATTTTAGGTGAGGTTTAATAACTATAGTAACTAGTTGAGCAAATAAATATTGTAATAAGAATCATTCTACACTTAACTCAGGACATATAAACATCAATGAAAATTACTACAAATCGGGGGAATTACTTTTGTATTGGATACAAAAACAAAGAACATCCATTTGGGTTACTTTGTGTTATCTCAAACCTCTTCTATATCCGTAATGATCTAGAAGTTTTTTTTTTTTTAAATAAACAGTTATACACCTCAAATTTTAGGAGAAATTAACTTATATCTATTCCAGGTTACTTGAGTAATTATAGAAACTATGAAGTAATTTTTTTTGTATAATAAAAAAAACAAACTACTATTACAATAATCTTATTGACAGATAATTATGAAGGGTTTTAGAAAGTTTGGGGCCCAAACCACTCATCAAACATCAGATTTTTTTAAAGGGCTCCTTAGCTTAAATTCATAGAAATCAACTTCTTTTTCAGGAATTTCAATAGAAAGTTTTTCAACAAAACTTTACAAATGTAATAAAAATAAACAGTAAACTTTATACATCAGAGAGAAATATTATTTCAATTTAATGCCAGGATAACAAATATGTTGCCATAAAAAATGGTAATTCTTTTTCTTTGTTTATAATATTTATCATATATTAAAATTTCTAGGGCAATAACAACTAAGTAATAATTTACTTTTGTTGTATTTGAAAATTAAATAGAAAAACTGTTTTTGACAAAATTGTTGTTCACTTATTCATATGCTTACAGTCTTTCATTATATAAATTGTAGTAAGAATGTAAATCTATCTCTGCTTCCTGTATGGTATATTTTGTTATGCCTTAAACCATAATGTGGTGACTAGCTGGTTTAAATCATACTAAACTAAGTTTGATTTTCTTTGTTGAAAAATCTTTATTTCAATATCAGAGATTATAAACATTGTCTGCTATATTAAAAGTAGATCAGATAAAGGAAAATTATTCTACATGGTCATCAAAGCATTTTAAATAAAAGCTATGCAAGTTTAGAACAAATGAAAAGCGTTTTTGTACATGTATATTTTAAGGTTTCTATTTAAACATGGTCAACTTTTTACAAAGAAAAAGTTTCAAGCAAAAAAGTTATATTCCTATCAATAATGCTGTGAAGAAGATAATAAATAGACAATAAAAAACATAAAAATTAACATGTTAATTAATATTGAAAGGAGACTAAATGGAATAATGTTGATTTTACACTATTTCTTTTATGTTAATTTCAGTTGCTTTTTATTGTAACTTCTAAATTGTCATTTTATAACAGAATAGATCAGAAAAAAAAGTAACTGAAATTAAGATGAAGTCAAAAAATTAATAGTAATTTATACTGCCCCCACTAAGTAATTGAAAATAATAATACTAATAATATTCCTAGTATATGAAAAATTGATTTTTTACTTACCTTGCTATGGTAATAATTGTGGGTTGTGGAAGACATGAAAGAATAGTGCCAGTGTGTTGCATTAAAATGTCAATTTGTGCATCTGTACTTATATGGTGTGGCAATTCTGTATCATCACAAGTGCAACCAGCATCATGCACTAGAATGTAGTCAACATCATCAGCTGATATCTGTAAATCTTCCACAAGAGCTTCTAAGATGTCCCATCTAAGAAAACAAAATGAATAAAAGAAATATGTAAAAATTAATGGCATGATAAGCAGTGAAAGTAAATTACATATTCACTTACCAGCAAAAATTAAAAGATTTTCACTTAAATTTTAGAAAAGAAAATTTGAAATTTATATAAAATTTAGTTTTATGAAAAATGTGTGTAACTTTGATTTTATATATTTAAATATAAAATAACATACATTATGATACTTGTTTAAATTTATTAAAAATTTTCCATAGTACATTCATATTGTCTGTCTGTTTTTCTACAGCTTATCAACTTTCTGCAGGTTATTTAAAGCCAGAAAATACTTTTAGATTGTAAAATTTTTTTTTTTTAGATAATAATGATTTAGTGATATGATTCTTATTAATTAACCCATAGCTGGAGGGATAAGAGGTGGATTTGTACCTTCCCCAAGGGTATTTGTGTGTAAGTGAATATAACAAACCCAACTGGAATTGAAACTTGGCTCTCTGATTAACAATTCCAAGCCATTATCCATTACATCACCTGCACATCCAAGCTTACAGCACCTGGTATTCCAAAGCAGTCACTCATCTAGGTACTGATCAGGCTTGATGTAGCTTAACTTCGATGATTGTATGGGAACGAAGGTTTCAATGTGTACATTCAGAGTAAACATAAAAATAATTAAAAGAATAAATCATTTAATATTTATCTTCTGTTAAAAAACATACACAATATTAAATTTATAGGTGTGCCTTTGGTCTCTTAAAAAGGAAGAATTTGTAATAACCTGCATTTTGTGAAAGAAAATGATGAGTCATTCACAGGGTTATGAATGAATTACAATCACCAGAGGAGTATTGGTGTTTAAAACTGAAATTTCATTATTTAACCACTAACATTTACAAGTTTTAACCTAAACATTGACACTTGAACAATATATTGTGCATGGAAAAATCATGAAGAAAGATAGTGTCAATAATAAAAAATTACTGATAAAATAAAGTTACGTAATCCTGAGAAGTATTACAAAGTATAAATCCTGCAGATGAATTGATGATATTAGTGAACATGTCACACTAATTTAGGTAAGACAATGAAATAACATCTATATTCTTTATTGTAGCATTAGCTACTGGTTAAAAGTTTTCCTTGTTTGAAAACAAACATTTCTTTGTTGCCAAAACTAAATATCCTTAATAACGTATCAACATTTTGTTCTCACCTTTGAATTGATTGATCAATTGGAGCTTTAGGATTTTTATCAAGAATGTGGAACATTTGTTCTAATTTCTGTAGTTGCTTGCTCCTGGATTGAACACATTCTTTAAGAGCCTGAAAGTTGAAAGAAAACAAAAAAAACAAAGAATTGGATAATTGTTTAAATGACATCATATATCAAAGACTAAGACCCTAAAAGTATTCAAATTTAATGTAACAGGATTAAGTTTTAAGATTCCTTGAGCTGTGACTGACTTGAAAAGAGCCCACTTCCCCATAGTATTAAGAGCTAGGGGTTTGTCTTAATGTCTGAAGCGATGGGACTATTTTTGAATGACCCATCATAAAATGTGACCATTTTAATGGTTCCAATTTTTTGATTTGTTTAACTCATCAACTATTCTACATTCCTTGCACATTATTATTAGTAGCTTTATGCAAATTTTTGCATTATTAAGAATAACATTAATGTATTCCCCACTTGATGACATATTAGAATTAGTTATAAACTGTCTTTTTATTGAATTAAATTAACATTGTAAAAATGCAATGCATATGTTAATGTTTTTTAGGTACCAAGCACTAGTGACAAATTAGTTTCCCAGACCTTTACCAGTGAAGTAATGATTTGATTCTGACTCAGTAACACTTATTTTTTTAAGGAAGTTACAATAAAAAGCAACTAAAATTAAAATAAAAAAACAGGAACATTATTCCATTTAGTCTCTTTCCTTTTTAATATTAATTAACATGTTAATTTTTATGTTTTTATTGTCTATTCATTATCTTCTTCACAGCATTACTGTTAGGAATATAACTTATTTTGCTTGAAACTTTTTCTTTGTAAAAAGTTGACTATGTTCAAATAGAAACCTTAAAATATCAGTTGTGGCTCTCCCTTGATGTTGAGTATCATTGTTTTGTTCTGTTTGTCTCAGCCACTTGGGTGTGTGGACTCTGACATGGCTAATGAAACTGATTTTTTGCTTGAAAGATGCTTTGACATTGAGAACAAGTTGTTCTGGATGGTGGATTAGGCCTGGGTTGTTGTCTTCCTTTTCAACATCTTTTTTTCTCTAGTTCGACTGATGGTTTGGATTCAAAGATTGTTGTTCCATCTCTGACAATGGATCTCAGAGATTCCTGTCTATTGCACTGGATTCCTAGCTGTTGCGGTCAATGTTATATTTCTTCAGGTTTTGTTTTAGAATGTGCTTTACCTCTTCTTTTCCGATTTCCTCCTTTTAATTGGGAGTAAAAGATTTGCTTTGGTAGGCAGGTGCCGTCCATTCTCACCAGATGTCCACTCCATCAAAGCTGATTTTTTTATCACGATGACTTCAATGCTGGTCCTGCACAAAGGATGAATATAATAAAAATGTTTTCTCTTAGTTGATAGATGTGAAACTATCACTTTTCCTTACCTGGAAGAAAGAAAAAGAAAGCACTTTGCTTATTACAGTTACTTCTTAAGAAATTTGCCTTTGCTTCTTGTTTTTTTTTTTAAATCTTCTTCCTCCCTCAACACAAAATACTTGTACCGGACACTGTTTCATTAAGTAAACAGATTTGCATGTGTGGTTCATCAGCAGACTAGTTGACAAGAGAACCAAGATCATATTCAAGGTGCTATTTTAGAGAAAATTTAACAAAGAGAAAACATAATTTCAGGCAAATAAATAAAGCAAATCAATTTAGTGCCTGTAAAAACAATTTTTCATCTGTGAGAGGAATATCAACCATAACAGAAATACTTACCTCATGTGAAGAATCTTTAGGTTTTGTGAATTCATAGAGTTTCTTAAGCAGTTGGTACTGTCTGTCTGTGTAAACTTCCAGGAATGGGTTTTTGGTAGAAAAAAAGTCCAAATCAATGTCAAGAATTAAGTCATTTGTTGGACCCAGTTCTGCAAAGAGCTTTTGAAACTTGGAAAAAGTAACTTTATTTCTGTTCTGTTTACTTTTTGGAAGAGGTTCATCTGTCCGGGATTCTTTGTTTTCACTTGTCTCTTCTTTCTTCTCAAATGTAACATTCTCCTCATGAGACAATTTCAATTTTTTCGAACAGTCTTCAAAATTACATGGTTTTGATTCAGAATTAACTCTTTTATTCTGTGTCACTGTATTTGATTCTGCGCAATTTTCTGCTTTAGACGGGCATACCTCAGGAGTGAAATTTATTGGACTCGATGACTTATTTATCTTGATTGTTGTTTGATTTTCACTTGAATTAAGATCTGAATAAATAAAAAAATGATAGTGTGACAGAGTAATTGAATCATTTTCAGTCAAGTCACATGCCTGATCTCTACAAATCAGCATGAAAATAATTTGAGTGTCTGCTTTCATTTAGTCTTGGAAGCTATTGATAGTGATTTTGATTCTTACTGAGTGCTTTATAAATAAACTCTTGTGCCTAAGTTGGATTAATTTGGCAAATTAAAAAAAGGAAAATCTGTTAATGTCAGTTTTAGTAAACAACATTAGTACTTGTAGTTTTAAATACAAGTGAAAAACTGCAAATTAAGAAATGCAGAAGAAAAAGAACAGATTAATTAAATGGTTCATTTTGCTCAGTAATTTTGTCTAAATGCACTGGTAAACTTATAAATGTACTAATTTAATTTGATTTACCCTACTTCCCACTACAGACGGGTTAGGAAATATATAAATAATTACACATTGATAATTATTATATGGTTTGATTTATAGACATATGAAAAACAAAAAAAATAACAAAATATGCCCCCACTTGTGATGTCATAGGGAAACTATTATAACAAATAATGTTAATAATGAAGTAAAGCTGGTAATAATATTTTTAACAATGAATCAAGACAGAACTTAAAACAAGAAATTAAAATTTCAACAATGGCTGATAATAGGTAACTTATCTGTAAGAGAAACTTCGCAACATCTTTTTATATTTGTCTTGGAGGTGAAAAGCAGACAACCTATTGTTTGTATCAAAATCTTTGAAATAGGAAATCATATCAAGAAAAAATTGAAAGTTTTACTTGAGAAATGTTCGTTACCTAATTGCTGAGGAATATTTTTAGGAGTTTTCTGTTCTGTAAAAAACAATGGACAGCTTCTTGTGGTTGACTTTTGGTCTTCCTGATTTGTGGAACTAGAGTTGAAACTGCAGTCAGAATCTTCTGAATCCGAATTGAGTGTTGGGGAGGTTGGCCATTCTTGTGGCTCAACTGTGACAGTGAACAAAGTTACAAACTTCTTGTTTATCAACTGCTCCTCACTAACATAAAGGGATTCACTAAGAAAGTAGTTTTCTGTACATGTTAACCTGTAACAAATGCAAAGAATCATTTTAATAATAATAGTTCTTGATGATTTTTAAATATTAATGCAATGACAACGCATATATTAATAAACTGTTGGATAGTTGAATGAAAATTATATTGTGATGTTCACCATCAGCCACTAGTATTTAACTGAGGTCCAGGGAGTAAAAATGTTTGACAGTTAAATGACATCAGTGTTGCTTGATTTGCAGAGAAACTGAAGTCACTGTCAGTGAAATGTTGCAGTCATTATAATTAAAGTAATAAAAAGTTCATTGTTACAGTTTCAATTTGATACAAATACATTCATAAAAAACAAGTATGTCCCCGCTTCACATCAGGAACACTTCATTACAACCTCCTCAACATAACAAAAGCAAAATTTTTTCTTTACCACTTTTAAAAAAAGAGAATGATATTTTTTATATATATTTTTAATATATTCATTAAAAGAAATAAAATCTGAAATAATGAGTACCCAAATACTTCTGGTCCACATTACACACATACAAAGTAATCTACTAAAATCAAAAAGCCAAATAATAGAAAAAACATGTCACAACCAATTCTTGGACACTTTACATAAGAAGAAAGAGGTACCCATTTTATCAATAGCTAAAATAGACAATCATTTAGTGTCATAAAACTTTCAAAGTTGTCATTTTTGTTTTTGTCAAGAAAATTCAGGAAAAAGAATTTTTTTCTTATTAAAATCAAAAATGCAATTAACTGACATAAATTTAAGAGAAAAAATTAGCATTTTTAATATAGTTAATATAAGGTAACCAAATAAGTCCTTGTCATTTTTTTACATTGTATGTTAAGAAGTGATCACTGACACACAAATGAGTGTGCTAGGAAAGTGGAGGGGGCATTGCTTTTGACAAAAGCAGGTGCATTGTGCACACACATCAGTCATAGTTGAAACAGTGGTGAGGAAACACGGTGGTGTTGAAGCAGCTTATTCAGGGTTGTCTGTTTTTTGACTTTAAGGTTGGCTTGTCCACAGCAAGTCGCCAAATATGTCAAGCCTTTGGGCATAATGCTGTGAGTGAACACACCGCCAGGCACTGGTTCCAGAAGTTCAGGTCGGTAGATCTGTGAGCAACCCCACAGTGGATGGGCACAGATCCTGGATGCTGATACCCTGAAGACAACTATAGACAACAACCAAACCTGGGATGAGCTTGCTGAATGCTTCTAGGTTTCTGATTATACCTGCCCCACATAGAGAAGTGTGTTTGGTTTGGTTTGTTTTATGGCATATCAACCTCAATGGGTTATTTAATGCCGACAAAAGTTTATTGCTGGTAATATATATTTTTTAAAAATGTATTGCTGGTAATATTTTTTTCCTTCAAAAATGTATTGCTGATAATAATTCTTTTTACAAAGTATTTCTGGTATTAAAACCTATTTTTACACATTCATAGTGTTTTGACCCAAAGTTTGGGGGTTAACTATTTGCCCATAGCTGGGACCCTGACAGGTGCTACCACCCCTGGTCAGGGTGGACCTGGTAACACCAGCAATTAAGAGGCTCCTCAAAACATCCTGATCAGAGCAGATGTAGTTTATCGTCATACCCAGGACAGTTTGTGCAAGTTTGTACCCTCACACACTGTCAGAAGCCAAAAAGCAACAAGTGACAACCTGTTCTCATTTCTTTCTCAGTATAGCAATGTACCCATATTTGATTGAGTGCTCACCAGTGACAAAATGTGGGATCTGTATGACACTCCCAAGCATGCCAGACATTCGTTGTCACCACAGGGCTCTGTGCCTCACACCACAGGATCACCTCTACAGCCATGCAAAATCATGTTTGTGGACTAGTTGACAAATGGTGCACTATGAGATGCTATCAATGGGCCAAATAATCATTGTGGACCTGTATTTGCAGTAGTTGGAGAGAAATCTTTTGCAAATGAAGCAAACTTGTAGCAGGCATTCACAGACTTCTTTGCATTCAAGACACCCAATTTTTACCACCAGGGCATTGTGCAGCTGGAAGCATGTTGGCAAAAGGTTCTGGGTGCCAATGGGGATTATTTTGAGGATTAATGGTATGTCAAATTAGCTGTATACCTTTTTTTCTAATGAAATAAAAAATGGTAAGGACTTTTTTGGTTTCCTTGTAACAAACTATTCTCATTCATAACAAAATATGCTCATCAGTTTTGGCAGAGATAAAACTTGTATTATTTTTCATTTGACACAATTTTTTGTTAGGTTTATGAAATATTTAATGCTTATTTAGCATCTGTACATATTTATATATTTTTCTACACTGTTAACTAATGGTTGCATACTGATGGTCATGATGAAAAGCTACTAAAATTAAAATGAAAAAATACTAATAAAAAAATCTAATAGCAGACAATGTATCAATTAAAACAAGGTAATATTAGAACTATTGATGTTACATCAAATTTGTAGAAAAAGAAGCTATTTTTGCAATATACTAGCATGTTTTGATTGATTGATTTGTTTTTTGAAACTTATTAATGTTTTATACTAAAATGTGAATATAGATTTTTGTGTTTACAAATACAAACTATTTAGCATCAAATTAAGAGATCAGAGCAAGTTTTTGACCAAGTGCTAAGATTTAGTGTCCATTACAAAATAAATAAATAAATAAATAAAAAAGATACACGGTTTTATAGTGAAACTTTTATTTTAGAACTTACTTGATATAACCTGTTTCTTTGCACTCACCAACCCAGAATTCACATTTACCATCAGGAATTTGATGTGCCCAGGGTGGCTTGACCCAAATGACTGTTTTGATGTGACCAGCATACAACAAGGGAACTAACCATGTGGCAATGCTGACTGAACTAGTATTTAAAAGAAAGTTCATTATTACTCTTTTTATATAAAGATAGATTTTTGTTGAACTAAGTCAACTTTGAGACAAGGTCAGATTAATGGAGAAACTAGTAAGAAATAAATCTTGGTAGCTATTGTTTGTGAATTAAGCAGAAGTAACATTATCAATCAATATTAAATCCTTATCAAATCAATTTTTCCCGCTCAATGTTTCATTGTGAAGCACATATTTTAATTTAAAAATTAAATATGTGTAATGTAGAGATCATGAAAATATGTTATTTCTTTTAATCAATTTTATTTTTTATCAGCTATATCACCTATAAAAGAAACTCTTCAAATATGCAGTGTAAACATGCATAATTTGCCAGTTTTTATTCCTAAAGCTAAAATGCATAACCTCTCTCTCTCGTCTATAAATTGATTAGTAGATGTTCAAAGGAGTTATATCATTCACCAACTCCAGAGTTTTGTGAAACAACATTCATCAAAAGGTCTAAAAAAAAAAAAATTGAATTATTATCAGATATCATATTTGTACTCCAAAAACAAATGCTGATCATAGACACCAAAATTCAAATTTGAAATACAGAAAATTTGATGTAACTTGAAATTTGATGAGTGTTGTTACACAAAACTCTGAAATTGGTCAGTGAGATAAATACTTTGAACATCTAAGAATCAATTTATAGTCCATTGTTGCTCTAGTTATCACAAGGACTTTTTTTAACAAAAATTCTGCTGGCCTTAAAAATATGTTAAATTTTAATAATTTTAATGTACTTTGACAGGTGTCATTTCATGGAGTTATTATATATATATATATATATATATATATATATATATATATATATATATATATATATATATATATATATTATAAATTTACTTATTTAAAAATGTTTCCATTGCTACAGAGGAATTACTATATTTCAAAAACAGAAGCTAAAAACTTCAAATTCAATTATAGAATTAAATTAAAGTCCCTAGTTCTGTTTCATTTTCAAGCAAATTTTGGAATAACTTATTTTGAAATTTACTGAGTTCTATAAGCACATACATTCATAATATTAGTTTGTATGGATATGGGGAAATCCAATCAAGGGGCAGTAGGATATTCTTTTTCACTGACAACTATTGTATCAACATATTAGTTACTTTTGAAAAGAGGTTAAGTCAAAGTAGGGTAGGGGTGCCTTTTCAAATGAATGATAACATCTGTTCAATATATGTTGTCTAGTCTTTTTCAATGACAGAATGTTATTTGGCATTTTCATTTTGCTGTTAAATTTGTACTTGTATACATAAAATTTTTTTCTAAATGGGTTTTTTGTATATGAATATTGTCATACTGAATTACAATTTTAAAATATTATTCTTAATGTTAATAATAGACTATACATCTTTTAAAACAAATAAATGTAATAGAATTATTTAAATTATTATTTAAATATCAAATACAAATATGTATATTTCATTTATCAGTTTTTTTTTTATTTTTTAAACATTACTTAAGGAAAACTTTTGACAATGTCGACAGAAAATAGCTATTTCATTTCTTTGATTAAGTAAATTTTTATTTTTCATAAACCTAGTAATATATACTTTCTCATGTATGCACAAAGGATATGGGTCATTTAATGACCTACATATTCTAGCTTTTCATATTAATTTCCATTTCACAGTAGGTATTTTATGGGTTTCCAGTGCCAAAAATATTTCAATAGGAATGTCTGATTTCAGTATTTATTTATCCTAAAAGAACTTTGATGTTGGTTAAACCGTTTTTTGAACTCATGTCTTGTGCATCCAATGTAGACTTTAACATTGTCTGGATCCTCAATAGATGAGACATTGCATTGGTATGCTAATGATTCAGTGCAACATTTATTATTAAGAGGACAGTTATGAGGATTTCTGCAGTTACATAATTTTTGTTTATCTTCATCTCTTTTTATTATTACACTGTCTAAATTTCTTTGGTCTAAGTGTTTATTCAAGATATTAGCATTATGTTTCTTAATTTTTTCTAAGTTTTCAATACAACTGTAACTTAATTTTAGGGTATTTTTATTGAAAATAGTACTGAGTTTACTATCTTTAGGAAAATGTTTAACGATTAATGCAAGAAATTTTTGTCCTAATTTGTTCTTTACCATTTAGTTGTATGGGGGTGTATACCAAATTATTTTTCTACTTCTGTTTTTTCATTTTTTATGTAAGTTGGCTTTGGGCTTTTGTAGCTACTATCTTTTAGAGCTTTATTATAGAAATTAATATGTTCATAGAAAATCTTCTCATTTGCTGAATTTGTACTTATTTTCTTTTCGCTAGATAAAGGTATATGCATAATTATAAATGGAGGATGATTAGATTTAGGGTGTATATACAAAGGATTAGTGCTCACAGTAATTTTTAAGTTCAGGCATTTAAATTCTCTATATAATATCTTTCTAATTTTATCGATTTTAAAGTTAGTAGAGTTCTTTATAACCATAAGTCCATCATCTCTGTATAATCCAATGTCAGTTATATTAATTTCATGATATGCTGTGAGATTGTATAATATAAAAAGACCTATAAGGTTAGAAAACTAAGCTGAGTCTAGTGATCCTATTGTGATGTCAAAGTGGTTGTAACAATTTTTTATCCATTGCTCAGTTTTATGTATTAGTACGGATTTTTCTGCATTTATAATAATGCTCTTTTCTTCTTCTGTTACGTCCGTGTACTGGGTAGCAAAGTCCAATGCATTCATGAATAATTCTTTTGATATTGATCGATAGTAATTTTCAATATGAAACTGCATTAGTGTACAGTTTGTTTTATCTTTGATTTCAGTAAACCAGTTGGTTACTTCTTTGGTATTAATCCATGTTTTCTTCAATTTGTTGATTAACCCTTTCAAGGATTTTTTTTACTTATTTTGCCTGTCTCAGGTCTTGTTGGGTTTATTATCCTTGTAGTTGGATTAGCTTCAAAATCTGGTTTATGGGCCTTTATGGTAATATAGCACTCATTTTTCATTAAGTTTACCTACTCTATTAATCTTCAGTTTATCAGTGTTTTTTTTTTTACTACTAATGTTAATGTTTTCCACCATGTTGAGGTAATTATTATTTGCCTTTTTATAAGTCTTATGTAAATCCTTATTTATTAGATTGCTGTAGTCCTTTACTGCTATTTTATAGAAATTTACCGTTTTGTCTGATTTCATTAAAATTTTATCTGTTGTGTTAATGCTTTTCACTATTTTGTTCAGGCATTTTTAGAAATAGTATTTCTTTTCATGAAAAGTTATGTTATTTATTATTTCCAATAAGTTATTTTGAAAACCAGATAAACTATGAATGAACAGTGCTGCTTTTTTACTGTTAAAACCATAAACTTCATTTTTGTTTGGTAACTCATTCCATTGAAGGAAAAAGTATGCTTTCTATCCTTGACTTAACCTCTTTTTGAAAGTAACTAATATGTTGATACAACAGCTGTCAGTGAAAAAGAATACCCTACCACCCCTTGTTAAAATGATCGGATTTCCCCATATTCATAGAAACTAATATTATGAACATATATGCTTATAAAACTCAGTAAATTTCAAAATAAGTTATTCCAATGAAATAGAAAATGAAATAGAACTAGGCACTTTAATTTAATTCTATAATTGAATTTAAAGTTTTTAACTTCTGTTTTTGAGACATGGTAATTCCTGTGTAGCGATGGAACCATATTTTTAAATAAGTAAATTTATAATATTCATGCTCTGCAGATTTGCATTGAGCACTGTTTTGTAAAAATAAAAATATTAATAAGAACACCGGATTATATATCTTACTGTTGTTTCTCTTTATTATAATATATATATATATATATATATATACACACACACACAAGGATTAAATTTTTAAAAACAGAAATTTTAAAAGTACTCAATATTTAGAAATTAATAGAGTGTAAATAATTTTTTAAAATTGAAAAATTTACTTACTGTAAATTAATATCAAATTTTGAGTTATTTTTTATTCCTCTTCTGACTATGTAGTTTTGTGGCTCATGTCCACTTTTCAAGGTTTAAAATGTTTTTTATATAAATGTTCATTTTTTTTTATATTCGTAGTTTTTTACTCAAATCACCCATCTAATGAATTCAAACATATACCAACATCTGCTAATAAAATAATCGCTACTAATTCTAGCAATGCGAAAATATCTAATGAAAATAAAAACATATATGAATCAGCATTAAGAAAAAGTGGATATATGAACAATTTAGAATATATAACTACAAACAATACATACAAAAAATAAAAGAATAATATAATTTGGTTTAACCCACCTTATAATGATACAATAAAAAAAATAGGAAAATTATTCTTGAAATTGACTGATAAACACTAAAAATAGTAAACTATCAGAAGTCATTAGTCATACAATAAAAATCAGCTACAGTTATATGAATAATATGAAGAACATAATAAATAAACATAATAAAAAATAGTAAACAAAAATAACAATTATAATACAAATCAAAATAATAACAATAGTAATTGTTGAAATAAAAATAACTGTCCACTTGATAATAAATGTTTAACCAATAATATAATATATAAAGCAACTGGATCAAATGATATTAACACAGAACAAAAATATTATACAGGAGCTACTGAAACAATATTTAAGGAAAGATTTAACAATCATAAAATGTCATTCAAATTAAGTAGATATGCAAACAACATAACATTATCTAAATATATATGACACAAAAAGAAAAAATATACCTACAAAAATCAAATGGGAAATAATAAAGTAACTCCAAATAATATTAAAAATAGAACATGTAAATTATAACTAGAAGAAAAATTATATATAAAGTTTAACAATCAAATCAAATTATTAAATAAAAGAAATGAATTAATGGGTAAATGTAGACATTTTAATAAATATCTACTTTGTAACTTAAGCACCTTCATAACATAATTTTCATAAATTTTAACAAACATCTAATTTTAACTTTGATATATATAGATGTTGGAATATATATATATATATATATATATATATATATGTGTGTGTATGATTGATATATATATAAATATTAGAATCATATAACTAAAATTATATTTAAATAATACAAATTAACTAAATAATAATGTATATGTTTGGGTGTATATATATATATAAACAATAATGAAAAGTAAAAATTATGAAAATACAAAAATATATAATAAAAAATATATAATAATTAAAAATACACAATGAAAAATTTACAATAGAAAAAGAATTACAATAGAAATGATGTGTTTATGAGCATGCATGGGAGCATGAACATACATACGTCTGTTATGCATTGTAAGTATGCTCTTGAACAGCTTGATGGACATGTGAGCAAATATTGGTATGCACACATCACTAACAGAGTAAAAAAAAAAATGAAAATTAAAAAAAAAAATGACATATACATAAAAATATTTTAACCCTTGAAAAAGTGGACATGAAGCATGAAACTACGTAGTTGGGAGAGGAATAAAAATAATTCAAAAATGGGTATTAGTTTACAGTAAATAAACTTTTTCAATTTTAAAAAATTATACACACACACACACACACACACACAGAGGGTCCACCAGTTGAAAACGTGTTTCTAATGGGAGACAATGTAATGTTACATGCCATACCTCAAATTTTAGCATTCTCATTTAACAGTTAAACTATTAATGGTCTTGGACCCCCACTATTTTTTTTTTTTTTGCTAAAAAACTTATGACCCGGGGACTTCACTCTCATTATCCCAGCTTGATCGAATTCTGGGTGAAAAGTAAATGTGTCTCCTACATTACTCAGTTGGCTAACCGCAGTCAATGGGCCTCTTCTTATGCGGTTGAACATCAATAAAGAAAAGGCAACAGAGTGGCAAGTACAAGCATTACATTTGGCAGACTGTACAAACGTGTGTGGTACAACAGACACCTGAAGAAGTGCACTAAGATAAGATTGTATAAAGCTATCTTTCTCGCCATTCTCCTATATGGCTCAGAGTCACTTACCGATACCACCTGCACCACCTTGAATGGTTCTACCAATGCTGCCTCTGCACAATCCTTAACATCCATTGGAGTGACTTTGTCACCTATATTGAAATCCTTGAAAAGGTGAAGATCACCAGCATTGAGGCCTTGCTGCTGAAGTCACAACTACGCTGGGCTGGACATGTTTCTAAAATTTTATTGTATGGTAAGCTCTCCACTGGTTATTGCAGCAGAGGGGCACCAAAGAAGCGATTCAAAGACTGCCTGAAAAAATTCTTTGGTGCCTGTCACATCAACCATTGCCAATGGTCAATCCAAGCTGAGAACTGTGATGCCTGGCGTCTCACTACCAATCATGCTGTCTCCTTCTTTGAAAATATCTGCAGGGTCACTCTCAGGGACAAGAGGCAGAGAAAGAAGTACTGCAATGCTATGCCATTGAGCTCATGTTGGACTTTCAGCTGCAACTGCTGTGACCGTGTATGTCCGTCTCACACTGGACTCAGTCAGAAATGTGCCTGCAATCAACGTGTACAGGCTCCCTCCTGGTCTTCATTTTGCAAAGTTTTCCAAGGGTGTTGACACAATGGGTTCTTGCCTTTTCTAAGGGTATTCCCACAATGTCAGATCACTTATTTGATGTTAGATAGAAACTTGTAAAAGAAATTGTCTGAAATGAAGATAATGTTCAGAGTACTTTCAATTGTCTTCAGTGAAAAAAAGGTAGAAGTCAAGAGGTAGTCGGGGGAACATTTATACTGTTAATGGTCTAGGGTTTGAAAAGATTATGGGTTCATATTCTTGAAATACATTTATAAAATAAAACAGTGGAAGTCATCAGTTATGTCACCCTGGCTTCATTATGAATTTTGGGCCTGCAACATCAAATTTATTCTGCCAGATACCCTGACCTATTGACAGGCCACCTCCCCACATAATTTGCTCCATAATTTTGCTTTTAGAAAAATCAATTATTAAATATATCAGGAGGTAGGTCTTACTTTTATAATGACAATGAAATTTGCATTAGTCAATAAGATATTTTGTATGCTATCTACATGTATGAAGTCGATGGTGCGATCTGTGTGTGCTTTCTGATTTTGCTTTTCCTGCATATGTTGATATTATGGTAAGTTGCTCCACATTTAATGTTACAAAAAAAAAAAAAAAAAAAAAAAGACTCCATGCAACATTAATTGCCATATTAAATTATGTTCTCCTTAACCTACATCCACGGATTCATTTACTAACCTGTCAGTCGGTTTTAATGTTAAAAAGCAAAAAAAAAAAAAAAGCCAAAAGAAAAATGACAATACCTTGAACAAACTCATGAATGCTATACTGCAAACCTTTAGTGTTATGCAAAACCAAAACCAACAGGGCAGGCATCAATGTTCCGTTGTGAGTGGGGGATCATATTAAACTGGATTAACATTAAATCTGTTGGCTTCATGAGTTCAAAAGCTATTTGAAGCCAACTTTCTTGGTAAACAAGAAAATAAGTTAAAAAAAAAAAATAAACTAAATTACTTCAGGGAGAGTGGGGGAGTCAATTGGTCCAACTATTTAAAAGTCCTTTGACTCCCTCACCTGCAAATGCCTAACTATGGTGTTTAAAGCTAAAACTTATTGTTGGCTTCAATGGCGTCCAAGCCAGAAAATGCAAGCTAACTTGCTTAACAAAAGGGAGAGGAAAAAAATCCATGAATCATTATATGGTGAAATAGATTTTGGTATCATGTGACTAAAATGACCTTATAGTTAAATCATTTTAATATGTGCATGCCAAGATTAAAATGAATTTTATTGACAGTGTTTTGCAGCCATTTAATATGGGGTGCTTCCAAAATGTCTAATCGCATTTTGGAGTTGGTTCACCATAACCTGATGGTAATTAGAAGGGACACTGTAATCAGATTCACTCCAATTACATAAAAAATGAAAAACAATAAAGAATATTATTTATAAATATTGTAACTCCCACAGACAGTAAAATAAGTTAATAGCCTTTTAGCTTTTGGCTATGTCTCAACTTATAACTTTTCTTTTCCTTGGAAATAAATAACAATGATTGAAAAAATTTGGAATGTTATACACAATTTCAGCAAGTTCCTTTACAAGTTTCCACCTAACATTAAATAACAACATAGAAATACATAACAGGCATTCCTTGTCCATTCTATTCAATGAAACATGTTTAAATGAAGGATTGCTGCCTAAACTATGTTTAAACTATATAATAATAACAAAGATTGTTTTGCTAAAACAAATGGTTGACCAGGACATTTCTGGATAATCTTTATAATAATAATGCTCAATAGCAAGAGATAAAGTATTAATAGTAATAAATAATTTTATCTATTTCTACTCAGTTTTATGATATAATCTGTAAAAACCTGATTACATCAAATTATTAGGGGACTTGACTGTATTTATTTACAGAAATCATATTTTTCTTAAAAGGCATTAATAAAAATGAAAAATAAAAATAAGACGAATTACAATTCATCCAATTATTTCTATCCCAAACTGTAATTATACAGCAAACGAATCATTATTTTAAATATTACAATAAATATAATGAAAATATTTAGAAATAAGAAATTAACAAATATTTAGAGAATTTTGAACTGAACACTTAATTTATGAGCATACCAGAATTGACAAGTACACAGATGAAGGCTGGAAAGTACAATGACTGAATTGTTGCGATATCAACAACAAGGAGGGGGGGGGGTAATAATCCATGTAAAAAATAATGTAAATAATGATAACTCCTCATCCCAGAGAAGATAAATCTAATAAATTATAGTTAAAACCCTTCACAATTTAATTAAACTTTTATAGGCATCCTTATCCAAAACGGAAATACTTGGCTACACAGAATTCAAATCAAAAGTTGCATTTATATCTAACTTTTGATTGCATAAAAATTACCTAACACATATAACCAGACAATTTCAAATAACTTTATATCATGCAATGACATCTTCAAGGACAAATTCAAATAACTTTATGTTATAAATTAATCTATTTTTATGAAAAATTAATTAATGCCTTTTTTTTTTTGTTGATCAGTTCAGTTTTACAATCAAGTCCCCTGACAAGTGGATGTAATCCCCATTAAACCCAGAGTAGAGATAAGTCAACATTTAATATTGTGTGGATGTGTGTGGATGTGTTTAGACTGCTGCACCATGGCAAAATTTAAAAGGTTTGATATGCTAATGACATCCTCACTTTTGTATATAAACATGTGCAACAAAATAAATCCTACATTGCCTTACTAAAGTCCCTCAGAGTACAAAACGTGTTGGCTAAGAATAGGTTTTTTTTTCTGTTTTATATTTATATATATATATATATATATATATATATATATATATATATATATATATATATATATATATATATACACACACACACAGACACACACACACACACACACAAAAATGGAATTAAAATTATAAAATATTTATACCTATAAAGATGATTTTTGTTAAATGTATCTGTTGCTTTTAAGTGTGCTTCAATCAAGAGATCAGGATGGGCATCAAAGTGAACTATGGTGGTTCCTGAAAAAGGGAGGCGCTTTGAGCCAATGGCCCGGTGAATAAATGGTAGCACCTGAAGAAGAAGAAAAAAAAAAAAAATCAAAATTTTTTTTTTTTAAATCTCAATTTGCAACATGCAAGCTATCTATTGGGATCTTCTCCATTTTAAATGAAAAAAAATTAAATTTATAACTTTTTAAAAAATTGTTATTTATTACAAAAATAGATGCTTTTATTTAAGTAAAATTTAATTTTAAGTTCTTGTAATATGATAAGCACTATGATATCTGTTTTAGTTCAAATAATAGTTTGTGAATAATAAAACTGCAAATTGGAAAAAGTGTAATATCTTTCATCCTATATAAAAAAAATAAACATTTTCATACTGATAAACATGTAAAGAAAAATATTTACAGAAATATTATTGAAAAACTTTAAATTTTCATAAGAAAGGAAATTATTTTCTTTCAATTTTATAATTACAAATCCTAATAATTATAAGATTTAACCTGTTTTATAATCTTTAGTATTGAATGAAGATTCTTAGTTATTTTTCCGCAGTAAGATCATTAGGCTGATCATATAATTAAAGGAGTCATATGATAAAAACTGACATTTTGTAAGCAACAGTAAATCTACTGATTCCCCATTCAAAGTCTTCACATGATATAACTTGGAATTAAAAGAGCAAATGAGATTTCTGAACATTTGCTTTCTGCCTTTTAATTTTTGCAAAATTAATTACTCATCCATGGTGACATTTTTAATACACTTCTTCAGGAGTTTTCTGTCCAACAGCCAAAGCCACCAATTTTTGAAATAAAAAAAAAATCTCCAACTTTTACAGACTCTGAACACAAATAAGTCAGTCCTCAAACTCCCTCCAAAAGTGGCATATATTTCTGCATGCACAGAACTCTTGTTCAAAATGTCAGGAAAATTTTAAGAAGCCTTGCATAATTGTCAATATCTTTAAAAGGTTCTATTATAAAAACATCCAGATCTTAAAAAAAAATAAAAATAAAAATAAAAAAGATTAGTTATAAAATATTACAGAATCATCCTAGACATCTCCTACATAGCCCGCATCATCATAGAACACCAAACAAGAGATAGACCTGTTTGAAGACCTCATAACCACTGTCAAGTGGAAGCTGAAATGGTGTGGAAGCTGAAATGGTATGGAAGCATTATAAGAGCCAACAATCTTTCCACTGCCATCCTACAACTACAGATGAAAATATGCGCTGACATCATTGAGTGAAGTGGAAGATCCTTCACAGAAACTCAGACAGTGGCATGCAACAGAGATAAATGGAAGGAACTGGTTAGGTGCTCAGCTACCCCCAATGACCACACTTGATCATGAAACTGAAATGAGGATAATGACCCTTTTCTTAGCAAATGGTAAAACTCTTTCATTGCATCAATAGGAATATGATCTCTTGATTATCAATCTTTGGTCTTCCCTAAGTGATTCTGTACTTCATAATCTTGCACAGTGAAAACTTGTTGTATCCTTAAAGAAGGTTACAAACAGACAAATGTGGTACTCGAGTGAAAGGAACAACAATAGATTAAAAGAAAGAGGTTTATTGTAAAAGAGAATACACTACTGAAAGACATGGAATCAATTAGCAGGCTAGTAATTCCCAAAGCAAGTCCACCAGGGATGTTCTGTGCTTACTATATATATCTACTGATATAGTCAGTCCACATATGCAATAGGGAGTGTGGGACATTCCATTACAACAAAACTAATATCAATTACATTTGTGATAGTTTGTAAACTTTCACAGTGCAACACTGTGAACTTGAAGACTTGCAAAAAAAAAAAAAAAAAAAATTGTATGAAGTAACACAAACTTTTTTTGTTGCTCGACTAGATGAAGAAGAATGATACTCATATAATGAATGTGGCAACAGCAAATAATTTTAAAATCTGTAAATAAGAATTAACCAAAATACAGTAGCTTCTAACTTGGAAATTATCATCTGTATCATTCTAATATTAGGTAATACCAAAATTTAAGCTACAAAACCTTGAAAATGCATTTAAAATAATTTAAATATCTGCTTTTCAGTAAAATTTTGAAAGTTAATTTGTACAAAAAAGAAAATAATTTTATGCATTTCAATAAGGCTTTATTTAAGACATTTTTAAAATGTTCTTAAAATCAATTTATCATTAATCCATCATTTTAATTAAAAAATGATGACAGAAAATTAAAGACACTTTAAAAATCTCTTAAAAATCAGATATATATTCTAGCTATTAGTTTCAAAGATTAAATTTTAAAGTAATATTAAGGATTAACAAAATTTAAAAAAATATTACTGTATGCCTAAAATATAGTGAACACAGCAAGGTATATTCCATCTGTCAACAAGTTCTAAAATTAAATAGTTACCTCCTGCAATTCCAGCTTTTACAAAAAACTGACTCAAATTTAATTGAATACAAAAACCTAGAAGTACCAAAAGGAAGAAACTAGTTTCATTGATGTTTAAAAATAAATTTTTAACCTTCTATAACCAATAAGGTAGGAATATATTTTTTATTCTATAAATAAAATTATTAGTATATTTTTTTCTCTGAATCATAAAATAAAAAATGCAATAAAATTAAGAGATTATTTGATTAGAAAAGCTTCTAATAGAATTATTGAACCCCAGAAGTCTCCACCGCCACAAAAAAAAAAAAAAAATCTATCAGCAAGAGAAGAATATTTAACTATTATTTTTATCTCTGCGTCCCAGGTGACGGACCCCAGCTTCTAATTGATTTTATGTATAAAATATATTATAGTCTCTATTATCTTAAGAAATTATTTTTTGCTGAATAATGAATGTTTGTTTTCATTTTTTTAAAATTTATTTAGAATAATTTATAAACTTACAAAATTCTGTATTAATTTGTAGCTATCAAGTGATAGTGTTATTAAATTAAGACTGTATTTACTAATCATAAATGGAAAAGCTTACTCCAATTCAGTGATCCCCAATAGTTTAAAAAGAATTTTGAATTTATTTTATGTGTATAAACATGTTGATTTTTGTGACGTTATAAGAAAATAAGAGTAGTAAATATAGAAAAGTTCAAATTTATAGTTAATTTTCTAACATTTCCTCAACAAGCAGCTTCATAAGGCTATAAAGCCAAATTACCTAAAATTAAATAAAATTACATTGTTTAGAATATTTTTTTAGATATTTAAGATTATTTGGAAGTTAAAAAAATAATATTTAAAAAAAGCATTCTCATCAAGTAATTGTTAGTTATGTCCCCTTAGAAAAATTCCTAAACATAAGTGGGTATTCGGTAATCTTGAACCTTCATGTCCAAACAAAAAAAAAACAGTGTCAAAAGGACGGTTTTTCTCTTGACACCGCTATTATTTAATAGTAGTTAATACCTTCACTCTTCAGCAATGTTATTTTAAGAGGCAATGATTAGAATTAGAATTAAACCTAAACATGAGGATTTGCGACAAAAATATTATTTAAACACTATTTATTTATTAGATTGTTTATTTACAAGAATAATTTTGTATTTACTTTATTTACCATAAAAACTAATACAAAATGATTAAAACTAAAATAAAATGCAATGCAATTTTTATCATTTCATTTATCAATTTATAAAGAAATAAATATGAAAACAATTTTTATTCATGAATTAAATTATTAAAATATGTGAATTAACTATTTTTTTTTTTGTTACCATAGCATTCAAATCAAATTATTTGGCAATTAGCCGATGTTTTAGTAAAACAGTTTTACCAACTATTTCAATAAACAATAAAACAATCTAATAGTGTTTATTATTTTTGGTGTCAATTTTTCAAGAACAAAGAAAATGTATGAATTTACTTTCATTAGGTTTCGCTATTCATTTGTAAGATTTTTTTCCATCAAAGAAATTTGAAAGAAAATAATGTTTTACTTTTATTTTAAGCACAAAATTTCAGCCCAAATTATATTTTTAAGTTTTACTTTTAGTTTTTTATTGAATTATTTTTGTAAGGAAAAATTTTCAAATTTTTTTTATTGAAATATCTTCAAGGATTTTTTTAAATTCAAATCTATTATTTATCGCCACCACCCGCCAATTTTAATTAAAAAAAAAGTATTCACGATGTATCTAAACTAAAAAAAAATGTCTTTACAAAGTTTTCTAAACCTATTCATTTAGTACAATATTCATTCATTTAATGAATGAATAAGTGCTGAAAGTTTCATATCTGATAATTCCCTTACTTTTATTGCTATTTTTTAAAAACAGGGTTACATTTTTTTTTTCATTTCGGAGAAAAAAAAAACGCATCCTTTTTTTTTGGCGGTACCTGTCCGTGTGTTTTAGTTCATTTTCATAACATTTTAGACCATATTTTATCTACACTACAGAGTTGTTTTTGTAATCATTTAATAATAATTAGTAGTGTAAAAATTATTTTAAAAAAATTAATTAATCCAAATAAAATTATTGAAACAATGTATTTTTTTTTATTTGAAACAGAAGTTAAAAAAGCAAATACTCTGCTAAGTAGTTAAGTGATGAGTGTCTGTGTACTGTAGTAAACTTACTTCAGTGACAACAGAGTAGGAAAAAAGAGGGATAGCTCTTAAAAATTAAGCGCACATTGTATACTACAAGGTGTTCAAAAAAAAAGTCGCATTATTAATTTGATAACCTCGTACAATTTTTTATATTTATTTACCAAATGGAATCGGGTTTCTGTATGTGACAAATTTTATTTAGTCGAATTATGGAAGATGATGTCAAGCAAATTTTCTCTGGTCTATTTCACAAAAGTGTATGTTTTCTTTCTACCACAATTGTCGCCCGAGTTTTTTTGGAGCACCTTGTAAGTGTACTTTTTCAGCAGACTATTCAAATCTACTTGTTTTTTTTTTTCTTCTTCTTCCGTGACAAAATCTTAAGCATTCTTGATCTAAGCTGCGATTTAAAATACTTTTTAAATTGAAATTATTGGATTAAAAATAAAATTTAATAAAATAGTACTGCCCTCGGTAGGTAAGTGCAAGTGATGGATAGGCAAAAAAAAAAAAAAAAAAATTGCCAAAAATTATAAAAAAATATAAAATTATACGTTGCGCCAATACAAAAATTAACACTTTAATTAAAAAAAATATTAAAATATATTTAAAAAAAATTAATTTTATACTTAAAAAAAAAAAAAAAAAAAACCAATGGAAAGTTTAAAAATAAAATTTAAATGAGTTATTTTGCCGAGCGAGTAAACTAGGATTTTATTTTTTACTCTTTTTACCTCACAGAAATTTATTTTTATTCTTGTTTATTACTTTTGGTATTAATTTATAAAACACACGATAACCCCGCTTCTTCGATTTTTTTAAAAATAAAACAGGAAAAATAAACATGATAAAAAATGTATACATGACGTAAAAAAGTATAAGTTAAAATAAATTAAATACTTATGCTTTGAACGTGTACAGAAGATACAAACAAAAAAGCTGTTTCATTTAACTTAAGTTACTAATAATAATAAGTTATTGTTTTATTGAAAAAATTTAGTCTAGAGTTGAGTACTACGGTTTACGGCATTTTTTTTTTATAATTGACTTGACATTTGGTAACAACTTACTTAAAAGATGCTAGAGATCTATTTAATTGAACGTCTACTATTGATATCTAAACTTACTTTATCATGATCATCAACAATATAGACAGGTAAAGCCGATTTTACATCTGCCATGCCACAGCTGCTTTTAAATTACGCTCGAAGGCAAATCGTTCTTGTACAGTATTTGTGAATGCCTTAATTCATTTTTCACAAGCTGAAGAGTTCACGCTAGGAGTAGATAAGCAGAAGATGCCATTGTCTTTAATTGTGATTTGATAAAAATCAGAGATTTAAAAAAGGAAAAAAAAGTGGTTTGTTTTGGTGTGTTCGAATGGGCAATAAATAATTAATGTCAGTTTTTCTAATGTTCATATTGCAACTAACTGGTAATCCTTGAATGCTACAGACAAAAAACGGTTTTTATTTCATCTTATTTTTAATTTTTTTATCCAATATGTTTTTCACTCAGTGAACGTTTTTGAGTCAAGTCAAAAATTTTGACTGAGTCTCAGAATTGTAAAAAAAATCATAAGAGGTTGTAAGGTTTATAACAGAACTCTGCGTAAATAATTATAAACCCCCTACAAAAATACTCATAAAAAAATGAGAATGTCACGTGTTTGGGTGTGTAAAGGAGAAAAGTGGGGTCAATTCTCATTTAGTTTATGAGTGAATGAATGATAATTGTTAATTATTTTTGACACTAGAAATTATTATTTTTTAATTTTTTATGGACACAGTGATAGTATTTTTTATTTATGTATTTCTTTATGGAATTGTCAAAGGCCCCATCCATATCATTAGAAATTTAATGTTTTGTTTTGTAAGGTTGTAGTCAATGTACTTGTCTGCGGGAAATTTGCCTTGGTTTTCCCACATGAAAGGGTTCAACGTTAACCGTTAAAGGTTAAAAAGGTGACAGAATCGATAAAAGCAACAACAGCTTGAAAGTTTAGAGCGAGCAATTCTCTCTTTTAGGTGGAAGAATAAAGACTCAAATTCTTGCTCGGAATATAACTGTGGCGGACCCCCTGGAGGGGCGCGCGATATGAAACCACGACCCGAAGGCCCCGTATCGTAGATGATGATGAGGTCACAAAAGGTCCGTTAACGCTTTTCGAATTAAAGACGTGACATCTGACAATGTGAAACAAAAAATGGACAACAGAACGAGGATATGTATGATTAATTCTAAGTTTATTTATAAAGGAGAGGCCGTATTGGTCTGGCAATCGTGGTAATGGTAGTCGGACTGGTCGTGTTGATGGTTGGACTGAGGTGCAGACGTTCCGGTCATGTCGACGGTCGGAAAGAGATTGCGGACGTTCCGGTCGTGTCGACGGTTGAACGTTAAGGTCGACGACGAGATGTTGAGGTGCGTACGTTCCGGTCGTGTTGACGGTTGGACGTTGCGGTGTAGGCATTGCTGGTCGAAGTCGGTGTCGAAACCTCCCGTAGTAATTACAACCAAGAGTATACGGGGATGGTTGGTCGTTGCAGATAATCGCTGCTGGTACTCGTCGGTAATCGTTGGTCGCTGCTGGTCGTTGCAGGTGATCGCTGATGGTTAGCTTGGTCAAGTTTCGGACTGGACGTGTCAGGCAGGAACGGGGAGCTGGCGTTGCGATGAAGTAGTCGGTATCGGCGACGGCATCTGGTCAGTTCTGGGAAGCTTGCGTTGCGATGTTGTTGGGCATATTGAATGTCTGGTGCTGGTGTTGCGTGTCTCTGGTCGAGTCCAATATCGAAACCTTCCGTAGTAATCATAACCGTAATGTACGGGAAAAGTTATGGACGACGTGCAGGCACCCAGTAGGGACGGAGTGCCGAGAGTCGAACATAGGCAAGGAGCCAGAAGTAAAAGGACGAAGTAAAGAGAGAAAGAAAGGTAGATCCTACTCGCGTCCATTTGGCAGACAAAAAAAAAAAAAAAATGGAAGTGTAACTTAATACGCAGCCGGGGTCGGCGTCCTGGCCACAAAGGCCAGGAGCCTGCGTACCGTTTATCTATTGTATATAAAAATACAATTATGGCACAAGGCCGAAAAAGGGGAGGGGTTGTGGCTGATCTTCACTAACTATCTTATACCTAGGTAATCCGATTCACGGCCCATTCACTCATTACAATTTGCCCATTTATAAAAACTCGTCCGTCACCAATCAATCCTCCATATACTATAATACCACATCATCTCAAGGTGAACCTACGAAACGTGCCCTGTGCCATAAAAATTTAATGATAATAAATTATATATACAATTCTAAAGATGATAAATGAAAGGGAAGGGAGATGAACACAATAAAAAACTAAACATGAACAGAAAGTGAACTAAACATAACTGATGTTAGTAGGGTCCGTTCTACCCTCAAGAAGGAGAGAGGCCGCTGTATTCTGCCCATTGGACAAAACCAAGAAGCTCTCTCACTAAGAGAGTTGGAAAAGGAGAAAATATATACGGACATGGGAAAGAAAAAGCTAACCCAGTCGAGATAAAAAGGGGCCAAAACAAACTGGGGAGATTGGGAATCTCAAATTGGATCATAACCAAAGATTCAGCCGGGAACAGGCCAGGAACAACACTTAATCGCATTAACTAGGTACACAAAAGCTTGTCTAACTTAATCAAGGAGAGTGCTCCGCAGGAAACCACCCCGATGTGACGTAGGTTGACCTAAAAGAGAAAATCAAGGTTAGCCCCGTTCAAACGAACCAAGCTAGCCTCAGTCACCCACCTTTCGCTGAAGACTGTCAAATGCAATCGTTTTCTCTCAGTTCTAATCTTCATCTTGAGCTGATGCTTAAAGAATCGGATCAGATCCTGATGAGAAAGACGGTTGCCTCGCAAGACTTCCTCCATTTCCGTCGTCCAAATCACCATTCGGACCGTGGCCAGAAACACCATTCGTTTCACACTAGAATACGGGGGCGATACATTGTCGCAGGCGTATGCGCGATCCATGAGCACGAGCTTTTCGGGAGCGAGACGAGCTACCAGCTTACCGACATGGTCCCATAAGGGGCGGACCCGGGGACAATGGTAGAAGGCGTGCGAAGCCGTTTCTTCCAAACCAAGGTCACACCGTTCACAGTCTGGCAAATCTGCCAAGCCCCATATGAAGGCCTTGTCATTGAGAGGCAGCCGATTCCGAGCCAGTCGCCAGGTAAGCGAAAACTCAGGGTTACTGAGATAAGCCGCCGCTGGCGCCCAAGACCAGAAAGAGCGAAACTCCTCCTACGACCAGCCGATGCGCTCACATAGAGATCCTTCGCGGCCCCCTCCACAAAATAACGATAGAAAACCCTCCTAGGCCGTGAAAGGTTACTGGACTGAGGAATGATCGTCAAGGCGGGACGACACTCGCGAAGAAAATCCGATTGATTCCGGGGTATACAATGGCGCTCAACACGCGAGATGTGGGGACTGATAATAAGGAAAGGAAACGTGTCCGTAACAATTCCTGCCATAATCGAATCTCCTGTCAATGCGCAGCGTAAGAAAGCTAGCCTCGAGGCGAGTTTGTGGCTCACCAAGTGCAGCATTTCCAGCCCCTCATGACACGGTCGTTGTGCACAGGCTTCTCTGTTGACCTGACGCTTGCGTCCCCACCACAAAATGGAGGATAGCGAGCGCTCCTTACAGAGAGGAAGTACGGACAATCGATAAAGGACAATCGAGAAAACGTAAGTGGCACACGCCTCCGCTATGCCCTTCAAGGACAACCTCCGTCGACGCCAAGTCTGACCGGCCGCGTCGACCTTTGCTCGTACTTCAGACTAATTTTTCTCCAGCTGGAGATCGGGTCCAAACCACACTCCAAGAATGCGGACAGGACCCTCCGTTCAACCGAAGGGCCCCGGAAGATCGACCCCCTTCTAGACACCTAACCGCAAGCCGGACGACTTGTCGCGGTTAATCTTGGTCCCTGTCACCTTTTAGTACCGATCAAGTGTCTTCAGTACCACCACAATGTCTCTGCGGCACGATACGAAAGCAGATACGTCATCGGCGTACGCGGAAACCCTGGCTCGAGCTCCTCCAGGAACGGCGATTCCACATAGGGCCGGCCTGCACACCCTGTCCCTCAGCCGGCGAATGAGAGGCTCCAACGCCAAAGCATAAAGTAGGGGCGACAGTGGACAACCCTGACGAACCGATCTAGACAGCGCAAAAGCGCCCGACAGCTTCCCGTTCACCTGTACCACAGCATTTGGGGAGCGATACAGGAGGCTAATCCAGCGGCAGAAGTCGGATGCAAATTCGGCGGCCGGCAGGAGAGCCGCAAGGTAGCGATGGTCAAACCTATCAAATGCCTTGGACTGATCTAAATTGATCAGCGCGGCTTTATCGTCGTCTTTTACACCCTCTATGATCGTGCGGAGCAGGTTGCTCTGAAGTGTTCGGCTCCTCACAGAACAAGTCTGCTCCGGACCCAACAGAGACTTGGCAACAGACTGCAGACGCAAGGAGCCTGCGTACCGATCATGAATTCGGCGAGAAGTCGCTCTGTTATGTTATGGAACACCAACAACAGACATGGTCTCGCAAAAATGCTAAAAAAATCTCTCTAAAAATGAGTTGAGATTTGCTACGATAAAACAAAGGTCTACAAATGATAAGAGGTGTATTACGACTAGTTTCGTAACACAAACGGAACTAAAAAGTAATTAGCTCAATTCTAAAACGAAATGAGACTAAGTTACCAGCGTGTAGGGAACACGATCAAAAGGTTACGGTCGAAGAGTTTTGTTCTCTTTCGTTTTAGGGAGCGGACAAAGGCGGCTACGACATAATATAGAAGAATAAAATGTTTATTTACATACACAAAAAAGGTAAAGAGATATATACAAAATATGAGAGTTTAACATACTGCTACCACTTCTCTTTCAATCTCAATTTTTGTGCAAATCTGTGAAAAAAGTGGATCACAGAGCATTGATATTTTTCTCACTTCTCATTGGTCAGTTAATATTAAAATTATGTTCTCGCCTACGTCTGTACAACGCCTACACGTTATTCAAAACCATTTTCCATCAAAAATCAGAAAAACTTTCCGGGGCCGATCACGAGATTACGTTGATTATAAATACCAGACACAAGTTCGTTCTCTCTCCCTTTTTGATTTCTCTAGCT